CCACTCACCTCGTCTGTGCAGCCAAGCACCGCAGCATCTCCACGGACTATTACATCCAGACGATCCCAGTGTTTCTTCTGCAGGCTCCACTTCACTCAGCTTCACTCAGCTGCCCGATAAACCCGCTGCTTCTTCCCACATTAACCTGAATAACAAACCAGGGCTCGGTGCTCCAGTTGGATCCAAATGGAGAGCCGGCGCTAACGTTAGCTGGGAAGCTAGCGGAGGCTAACTGGCTGTGCTGGCAGCTGAGTGAAGTGGAGCCTGAGGAGGAAGCACCGGTTAGCCCCGGTTTCACTACAGACAGATTCACTCACCACAGGGGCGAGGGAAATAAAACCTAAACAGCCAACTTAGTTTGCCTTAGTTTAGCAGTTAGCGATGTCTTTCACTTACTCTCGGTCTCTGCTATGTTTAGCTATTTCCCTGTGTTTATGTTGTACCTGTCCAGGAGAAGAAGAGCTAGCTCTGAGTCAGATTGTAGCCCCTTTAGCTCTTGCAGTGCTCTCCACCTTGGAAATGCAAAGCCAATGTTAATCCGAGTTCTGTCCCTTTCTTTATCCGACAACTTTTTCGCCAACAACCGTTGTTTCTAATGTCGGATTCTGGGATAGGTAATGTCGGATTCTGGTCGTCTTCAGGTGAACGTTTCATTCCGCTCTCCGCCATTTCGCTTCGAAAATACCCGCTGCCACTGCTCACTGGCTGTAGCCTTTTATAGGGAGGGAGGGCCAAGGGGCTGGAGATCAACACAGAGAGAGGGTGTGTGAGGTCATGCTATACTCCAGATGAAATTACACCTCTAGTTCTACACATATCAATTTTTTAATTCCATCAATCTAGAAATGATGAATTTCGCTTATTGCTCCTTTAAACAGTCAATAAGAAATGATAAAAGATCAGTGGTTAAAGAAGTGCTAGTCGATATTCTGGCTATAAATCATTTCTGATACACTGAACATTCCTCACAACCATCCAAAGATTGTATTTTTTGGCACGCTACTGGATGCAGCGTTGATTAACTGCGTCCATTCTCTGTCTCTTTAAAAGGTAAGAAAAATATTTAATCAGAGATGTAATAAAAGTTATGGAAACAAACGCCAGGAGCGACATGTGAACCCCAAGAACAGGAAGCCCAACAGAGTACGTAACATTTGACATGCAGTAACAGTTGACAGACTGAACGCGACCATGACTAAATCTTATTTATAATTTATGAGATGCCCAAAGCAGGCTGATACGAACCATCTGTGTGTTTACCGGATCAGATTGATTTACTGTTCATTAATGGAACTTGGACAAAGAGGGAGCACTGGAGGGAGTGTTATTTAGACTCAAAGGAACACAAGCAACAGTTTTCAGATAGTTTTGTTGGTGCAGAGCTGGAAACATTGCGAGTGTGTCAATAAGAGGGAGAGCACTCTGCAGTTTTTACAGTCTCACTGCATTAATGATGGCGGTGTGTGTGTGTGTCTGTGAATGAAAGTTGTGAGAGAAACAGAGTGATGTCTTTTGTGAAGGTTGCACAGACATTTAACCATGAAAAATTGACAATTCATCTTCTGAGAGTAGGGGAGTGCAGAGAAGGAGAGTAAACTGAAAAACGGTATCAGTTACTTAAAGCAATTTATCTCCCTGTCGTGCTTACAAGACACCAGTAATAATTCAAGCGATTATTCCTGAGTGTTATAAATAATGCGACAGTGATGAATTTATTCTTTCTGCGTGGACGCATACATGCTTCTTACAATATGTCATCTACCGAGCATCACACAAAGCCTTCAAAAAAAGACTGTCACTACTGGTAATGTCACTATGGACATTCAATGTCCCTGTTGCTGTAATGTCACGGTGACATGGCACTAAGGCACTTCAGGATTTGTGGGATTTTTGCTTCAATGAGAACAAAAAGTCTGGAAAAAATGAAAGACACACTGGCTGAGGCTGATAAAAGAAAAAGTAATGTCATTGAGGAGTGGTATCCCCAGCAGGGCAATCAATCAGTGACCTATAAGCTTCCTATTTACAACTTTAATTACATCAGACACTATGTCAGTCCGTTTTGGAGCTGTGCCGAGACAGACTAAAGAAATGAGAACAGTGTGACACAGTACCTCCACGCCCCCCCCTCCCCAAATCCCTTTACGACTGCTGATTGGGTATTAAATCTTGGCTTTCATGCAACATCTTCAAACTTAATGGTGATAAATTTTTTCTTCATGGGTAATAAATCTACTCTGGCTAAACTGCAGTTTCTCTCTAACCATTGACAAATTTAATGTCCATCCATCCCCTCAGGTTAAGAGTCTGGGTGTCATCCTGGACACTGTCCTTTGAGGCCCAAATCGATAATGTTACTCGGTCGAATACTTTCATCTATGAAATATTAATCGTCTTCGCCCATCACCTCAGAGTGCTGCTAGCCTCGTTCATTCTTTGGTTACATCTCGTATTGATTATTGCAATTCTGCCCTCTCAAGTGTCTCCATAACTCCAGTTGGTCCAGAATTCAGCCGCCCGTATCATCACCAGAACGCCCTCCATAGATCATATCACTCCTAATCTCCAGCAGCTTCACTGGCTTCCTGTTAGATATCACATTGACTTCAAGTTTCTGCCTCCCCCCTTCAAGCTCCTTCCTACCTGTCTGAACTCTGTCATATCTACACACCCTCCCAAACTCTTAGATCCTCTTCTGCAATCCCACTCACATCACCATTTGTCCATCTAACTACCATGGTATCTAGAGCCTTCAGCTGTTCTGCCCCCCCGCCTCTGGAATTCTCTCCAACATCCATCCATCCATTTTCGTAACCACTTATCCTCTTGAGGGTCCCAGCTGAGGGTCCAAGCTGACCCCAGCTAACACTGGGTGAGAGGCAGGGTACACCCTGGACAGGTCACCAGACTATCGCAGGGCTGACACATAGAGACAGACAACTATTCACACTCACATTCACACCTACAGGTAATTTAGAGTCACCAATTGACCTGCATGTCTTTGGACTGTGGGAGGAAGCCAGAGTACACAGAGAAAAAGGAGAGAACATGCAAACTCCACACAGAAGGGCTCCCTCCTGGGATCGAAACAGGAACCCTCTTGCTGTGAGGCAACAGTGCTAACCACCACACCAGTGTGCTGCCAACATGAGTGCTGCAATATTGACCCCCTTTCCACTTTCAAATCCCATCGGAAAACACACCTGTTCAGGCTGGCATATTCCGTCGAATTTAATGGAGACACACATGATGACAATGATGATTTTATAACTAATATTTTTAATTAGGATTTTTGTCATTTTATTAACTTTTATTGTATATTACGGAAACTTGTTTTTTAACTCTGCCTTGTGAGGTGTCCTTGAGTGCTTTGAAAGGTGCCTAAAAATAATATGAACTATTATTAGTAGTATTTTGGTCTCTTGAGATGTAATTTATTCTTTAAAAGAATCTTTGCCAAAATAGCAGCAGCGTTTTGTTTACTACAACTTTGTGTAGCATTTGGCAGTGATTCATTGAAATGCATCATTATTTTGAAGATAAGAGAGAAAAGAGCAGTGTTTCTCTGTGTGTGATTGTGTATGAGTGCGTGTCCTACAACGCCATATGATTCTCACTTCCAGTAAACAATCTAGTCGTGTCATGAAGCAAAAAACACACACACAAAAAGTTTTGTTCAACTTAATGAATATTTTATTTTCAAATCATTTAAAAATATGTAATTTTCAGGTTTTCAACAAGCAAGCAAGCACAAGCATATCTTTCATTATCAAAACAGCTGCAAAAAGGCATTTTAGCACAGCTGTGGCTGTAATTACTTTTACACCAGTCCACACTGACTAACCCACAAACACACCGTTCTGCCGTTCACAGATAAAAAACAAAATTCTACAAAACTCGGCTGAAAATTCCCCCATTTGAGATTCAGTCACATCATCATATTCCAGTAGTAGAAGTTCACATACAAACAGGAAGTTCAGAAAAATACTCACTACACTCACTCAACTCCTCACGCGGAAGTTTGTTTCAAAGATAAAAAAATATTACTGAAATAAATGGATTATGTTCATGTTATTAATAAGACTACTGTAAGTTTTTTGGTGAGTGATTTTTTTTGTTAATTATCTCTATGCGCTTAACTTCCAGTATTTTAGCTGTGTTAGTATTGTTACCTGTTTTTATTAGTATTTTATTAAAGCTTTTGCTTGATTTTGTTTTGTCAGAAACTGTTCAGGCTGCCGTCATGGCCATGTCTCCCTTGTAGCGGTTTCCAAACTCTACGGGATGTATTTAGCTAAATAAATAAAATAAAACAAATAAACAATGGATGTCTCTTCACCAATACAACACAGATCATTCATATTCTCACCTTTCTTACTGTAACACTCAAGTACTCAAAAATGAGGAGGACATTTTAACTAATATATTAACATAATCTTTATTTATACAGCTTGGTTCAAAGTTAAAATTTTGTTCAGGAGTAAAGTGATAGCAGAGTGGGAACTTGCAGGCGGGGCCAGCAGGAGAAACACTATTGCACAAATTCAGTGGGACGCACACGGCGGAATTAAACCTGGAGGCGAGAAAACTTTTTTGGTGTATGGCCAGGCAGGCAACTCCACTGGAATGAGTAGGAGCCATCTTGGCATCCAGTATCTAGACTATTACACTCTATGGGCTAAACTAAGATACTGACCACAGTAAAAGTACCAGCTACACATCGGCATGTTAGCACTGACATTTGGTGAATGTTAGCATGCTAGTGTTAGCATCATAGCTCAAAACACTGCTGTGCCCTAGTACAGCCTCACAGAGCAACTAGCACTGTTGAAGAAGCTTTTTCACCAGCTACTTTTACAGTTTTGAAAAAGTATCGTAAAGCTGCATTACAGTGATCAATATTTGGTCACAAGGGGCACCAGTCGACAAACACACAGTCACCCTCATATGGCTTACACACTTGCTTATATCCATCCAGCAGAGACAAAGAAACATTTGCATCCACTCAGATTGTTTATTTGCTGTTTGGTTTTATGTAACTTTTTTGCTTTGGCAGTTATGCCCTGGCCACACTGCCTGAGTAAGCAGCGCGTGTGCGACAGCGAAAATGGTCTTTTGATAATCATATTGATGTTACATCACCATTCACTATAGTTTCAATGTTTATATCTGTCACAGACGTGATAAATATGATAAAAATGTTTCCATTTTAAAATAAAAGCCCTCTGACAATGTTTCTGTTGACAGAATCCCTTCATCTGTCAACAAAAGGCTTTTTATTGTGAAATATTGTTATGACCATGTTGGTGACAATGCAGTGGCTTGCACAGCTCCATAAATGATTGTCGGCGTTTAATTTAGGCAATACAGTTGTTTTAGCAGCAGGCAGCTCTGCAGCAGCGGTGCAACAACAACGCTGTATGTGATCACCGCACATGTGCAAGCCACAGCAGTTCAGCAAAGTCACCGTCATGCACTGCTCGCACAGGCAACGTGGTCTGGGTGTTTCTGCGAAGGCCATCAAACCAAAATGATGAGCTAAATTAAGCTAAAAACCTCTGTAGAGCCAAAGACTCAGGTGAAAATTCCGCTCCGACATTAAACAAAGTCTTTTGATTTAACATTGATATAAAAAATATTGATCAATGCAGGCATTAAGGCTTGTAAGAACTATATTTTAGGGCACGCTTGAAGAATTTTTGTGGACATCAAAGTCACTGTCGTGGTTGGTGATTGTTCTATCATCATTAGCTCTACGCTGTTGTGCAAATTATGATTCACTGTTAGTCTACAGTCCAGTACACATACTGTATACACACAGTGTTTCTACAATTCATCTCTTGGGTGTGTGTCCTGCAGCCAGTGTTTGTAGACGTAGATGGGATCTATGTTCCAGTGCTTGTGGAAGGAGATGGCCTGCTCCAATGTCTCAGAGTAGTCATACGGTCGGGCCTAAAATATCAAGAACAAATGGTTTGTCTGTATGCGGGTATGTGTGTGTGAGCGCATGTAAGTGTCTGCTTAAAAAATTATTTCACTGCTGGAGAGATGGTCTTTTTATAAAACTCGGCTGTCTGTGCACCAAAAAAAAGCTAATACTTTTTAAATTGGTGCTACATAACCAACCAAAACAGAGAAAAAGCAATGTGGCATTTGCCTAATTCAAGAGGTAAAAAAAAAATACAATATGAGCATAAAGAGATCTGGGCTCTGATATGACTGAGGGAAGTTGACCACAATTCATTTACTTACACGACTCACACTATCATTAAACCAAGCTTGCTGAAAATCGGCACAGTATTCCTTTAATGATTTATGTTTCATTATATCAGGGGATTCCCAAGGTGGCTAACAATGTGACTATTGCTCCAGGGTAGTTAATTTAATATTCTGCGATTATAGCCTGCATTGACCAAAAAGCAGTCTTCCCTTCTTTTCCCACATTTAGTGATAACAAATATAAAGAGAGGATCAAACAGAGCCTCATCTGACACTGGATTAAAGGTTGATGCCCAAGTTGGGCTCTAAGAAACTGTTTTTGAATGTTTTTTTATCTTATTTATTGGTTTCTGTGCAACACAGTTACAACATTAACACTATGCGTGCTGTCCTGAATTACTAAACCATCAGATTTTTAATTTGTTGTTATGGAAGCTGACTTTTAAACAAACCTGGTGACATACATGTCATCAAACCTTGTTCTTATTGAATATTTTGTAACATTCAGGGGTTGAAAAGCAAAAGTAGCTAAGGGAGGTTCTTACAATTATATTAAGAACACATTCTTGTGTGTGTGTGTGTGTGTGTGTGTGTGTGTGTGTGTGTGTGTGTGTGTGTGTGTGCGTGTTTTGTCCCTACCTGGTGGAACAGTGGACTGTGTGTGATGGGAACACCCAGGGAAGTGAAGCACCTGCCAAGCACCATGTCATCGGGAGCATCATCACTGTAGCAGCGACACCCACTGGAGAGCAGCCTGGACACCGCCACCCGACTGAGCACCATTCTACACACAGAAAACACATATTTAAAAAAGAAAGGGAATTCACAAAAATATATGTGTATGATATAAGAGAAAAACTTGTGTTGTTTTTGTTTCAAATCACATACTCATGGCAATGAAAGTTTTTGAGGCAGTGTTCATTGAATTTTGGAGTGAATATATCCTTTTCTGCATGTATAGCATTTAGACTGTCCATGCATGAGGAACACCTGCTGTGTGTCAGTATCAGTGCTTCCAACACTGTTTTTCATAACATCATATGTAACCAGAAAAAAAGAATTAGCTGAAGAACATAGTGGGGCATTTAGCCATTAAAGAGCCAGATATTAACCTCAGGAGTCGGTAGAGACCAAAAACAGATCTAAAAGAGAGTGAATACTGGACTTTCATTCATCAGGTGGACAGAGACACAGCTCCAAATGAATAATGTTGCTGTGTGTGTGTACATAAGCTTCTAAGGAGTTGTCATAGCAGCACACAAGTAGCCATTTGATCCATGATTATTAAATACATATCGATTATAGCAACTTTAAGTTATTGCCATTGCTGTTTGACAAAATTACTAGATATGTCAAATGTGCAAAATTCTTTGTTCACTGTCCAAACATTTCAAACATTTTCAGGGTGCACTGAATAAAAACGGCTCTAAAACTTAGAATGTTTCAGTATTTGCTGGAAAGCAGCCGCAATGAAGTTTTGGGACAGACAGACACAGAATGTACTGTAAAATATAAGTAACGCTGTCATACTATATTGAGTTTTGTTTTACTGCGGCACTGCTAAAAGCTTGCATAGCAGCTTCATTTCCCATAAGTGTGTGTTCAGACACAAAGCCAATTTGAGAGGTGGCACGGTTGCACACAAAGTCAATGGAAAGACACATATAGAAATTTGAGAATGTTTCAACTTGTGTAAAACATTTGGATCCTGGAGGTTAATCAATCAGATTTATACACATATATACATGAGAAGAAAAAGCTGGGAGGCTGGAGGGAAATAACAGAGACAACCAGAGTTCTTGGTTCAGTATGAGAGACGCAGACACATTCCCACAGAAATTGTCAGTGTGTCCATTGATAAGTTACAGTCTGAAGGTGAGTACAGACAAGCAGCCCAAGGGTCAAAATCAGGGCGAAAACTTGATTGTTTTTTCGGTCTGAACACACCTTAACACCAACGGCACCATCACATACCCTGCACAACAGCCTTACCCCCCTCCTCCTGTGGTGTAGCTGTATCCGTTCTGTAGCAGACTGTAGCCGTATCTCTCCCCCAGGTTCACCGCTTCCTTTGGGTCATAGCAACGCAGCAGTCGCCGCAACCTGGGCAAACTAAAGATGGGCAATAATACAATGGACAATAAGAGACAGGAAGACAGAGGCATGCATGGATACTTCCCAGACACAAACACAAACAATAACCTGTACAGACTGTATGAAGACAAGCACAATAACATCCGAGATACATCAAATATCTGTCCTAAGAGACTTCACAGGATTGTTAGAGGAAAAAAACATTTATAAAGTTGTTTTTGTACTGCACAATAACAACTTTAAAAATGGTTTTGAGGCTTTGAGCTTTTCTCACGGGCTTGTAGAGATATGTAATATCTCTCACATCCTGCTGCCAGCTCACAGTAGACATCAGCAAGTTATAACTTTAGAATTCTTACTGCTCTCTGAACCCGAGCAGAATGATTAGCCAGTGTGTCACCTGTGTGTGCAGAATCTTCACATATATCACATCTTTAAAAGAGATGTAACAGAGGAAGAAATTATTTATTTACTGTCTGTTGATGCTTTAAATTATTAGAATCAAAGGCCTTTACACACTGGGGGTGTTTTTTCATGCGATTATTACATGCACATCTTAATATTTGCACATTTTAATATCTTACTTTCACATAGAATGAGCTTTTGCACCTTGAGTAGAGGGATCAACCAATCACTTTGCATGTAATGGATATATCACATCATGTCACATCGTGACAATGGCGGACCCATTGCAATTAATCTTTCGCTAAGCCCCGCCCCTTTGTGATGGTCCGACAAGCTGTTAGAGTAAGCATTGAGCCCACACTGTCACTAACTGCACTCCCTGCACATGAAACAGTGATTCCAGAGAGAAGCAGACAGAGGGGTCTACAGTCTGTGTTTGAAGGATATATCCAGGATGTCAAACTGACTCAGCAGCAACAACAGGTTAAAAAGACAAAGATAGTTAGAAGCTAAAGCTGAACTATAGGCTACACATCACAGTGTAAAAGTGAACCACCACATCACTGCTGATCGCCACAGAAGACAAAGAATATAAAGGGAAACATCAGTGATATTGAACCAGCTGTGTGGCATCACAGTGTGTGCAGATGATCTGTGTTTGGCTTCACCCCCGTGCTGCTGCCAGCACCCGGACCTCCGCCACCGGACAGGCAGGCATCTCCATGGGAGTCAACCAACATTCATCTGCACACAATGTGATGACACACAGCTGGTTGAATATCAGCAACGTTTCCCTGCGTCCCTTCACTGGTTCCTGTACAGCAGGGTCGGTCTTTGTTTCACTGTTATAATCATTACAAAGCAAAAGCAGCATGTGTATACATTCAGTAGGCTATATCTTCAGTAGCTAGCTAGCTAACCCTACACTTTTCAGGGTTTGACTTTGGTTTTGGAACAGGGAAGAAACGTATATCTTTTTCCAACCTCTCCAGGTAACGAGTATCAGCTTCAAATTCCTCAAAATCAGCTTGAAAATGAAGGAAATCTGAAATGACTGCACTAGAGTCAGTGGATCACAGCTGTGTTGTTGTTGTACCCTGGTCTGAGCTGGCCTGATGCTTCGTTATGATTGGCCAGTCTGCATCTGGGGGCAGGAGTTAGCAAAGGGTCAGTTGTCACAAATGTGCATCACAGCTGGTTGTGTATATTTTAGATGTGAAATATTCACAGGTGAGTATTTCACATTTTTTGTGTTGTTTATTCATCCATCTCCCGCCATGTAGAGGCCTTAACAGTAGTAAGTTAAAACAAAAACTTTTCTCTAAGTTACCTGATGAGCGTATCATCATCAACAATGAGTAGCCAATCAGCCTTTGGCACATCTTTGCTCAGGAACCGCCTCAAGATGGCAAATGTCTTCCCACAATGCCCTGCAGGGAGAGGACGCATCGACAAACAGTGTGAAAAAATTGAAGCATGAGACCTCATCAGTCCCCCTGAAAGATTTATATCAGCAGTCTGTTTGTGACAGCTAGAATAAATGTATTTATGAAGTGGATTTGTGCTCATGCTGAAGAGATCAAGTAATGTGTGGGTGTAAAATGCAACACTGCTGATATTACTATTCATAGCAGTTTTGTCAGTATGTTTCTGATGCATGATCATAAGCTGTGAGATTTAAACCACAATGCTGGCACTGCACATACGGCAAAACATGATCTGTATCTACTGATAATATCAGGCATAAAAAATGCTGTTGACTGTCGCAAACATTGACACAGAATATATTTACATCAAGATAAAGTAGCTAGAATAGTCTGTAAACATCACAGTGAAAAGACAAACACAAGAACAGAAACAGAAAAAAGATGTGGTAGAAAAATGAAATGTAAAAAGAAAGACAAAAAGAAAACAAGGAAGGTCAGACACTCCTGGGTGCTATAAAAAGGGTGAAAAAGAAAAGATCACACTACAGAAAGAGAGAAAACCCTTTTACTAGGATGAAAAAATTAGAAAATGAACCAAAGCTTGGGTTTGAAAAGTATTAAAGAGTGTGGTTCTGCGGACATGAGAGGCAGTGTGATACTTCCATCAGCTTGAGAACAAGAGAAATATAAGAATGGATGCGAGGAAGAGATGGAGGTGTCATTGAATGGATTTCACAGCTCATTCGAGGGAGTGAAACAGACAGACCGGTGCTGTAATCAGGGGTATCTCACACAAGAATGCAGGTAATACACAGATAAAATAGGTGTCTGTCCTCCTCTTGCTGAAGCTGCTCAGTGCCGTTATTGTTTCTGGCTCTATCTATCACCTCCTCACTGGGGAGAAGACAGCTTTGTGGTTACAGTTATAATTTAGTTGGACTCTCCAGTCTTTTGATTTGTCTGTCCATACACTGACTCATCCGTCTGTGGTGCACCTGACAGTGTGTGAGGACAGGAAGTCTGCAGAGTTACAGTCCTCATTCTCCCTTTAACAATGATCTCACATCAAGAACAAACAAATGAAAATAAAAGCTTTAGTTTGAACTGGACGATCATGGACCTGCTAACGATGTAAAGATTCTGCACATGAAACAAAGGACAATAAGTCAAATCCATGCTTGGTTGATGTGAGTTTTTACAGTTCCTTATGATGATGATGATGATGATGAATTGTCTTTCACCAAGTCAGTTATTCAGTTCATGTAAGCCAAACACACATTTATCTACTGAGCGTCCAGCAGTGATTGTAGCCTGAATATCAAGATTCTAATTAACTGGGAACAAAATTTAATTTTCTACAACACGTATCATAATGTATGTATGCACATATGTGTATGGTCTTGCACTAAAAAACTAACCCTGAGTACTGCCAATGTTACAGTGGTCGGACATCTTCATACACCTTGTGGAAAAACCCAGCGTCCATACAAAAGAATAACTCAAGACATACATATCTCGCAATGCATACAGTTTTTTACATTGTGGTCACGTCCAGGATGTTAAATAACAAGATTTGTCAAATGATTTTTGTTTATTACGGACAGATGTGCTGCCGAGCCAGCGACAAGGACGAAAAACGAAGCTGTATAAGACAAAAAAAAGTAAAACAACTATATACTGGCGACAAGAGGACATTTTCATTCAGGTATCTCAACTGTTTCTCTCCGGTGTCCGCTGTTTTTCTGCCATCAGTACAGGCGTGCAACTGCTGTGACATAACTGGGACGTCCACTCAAAATTGGTCTGATCCTCTATGATCCTCCATGAATGACCAGAATGTTGAGATATATCAGTCTGGACCAAGGTGGTGGACCAACAGACCTACATTACCAACCTAAGAGCAAACCACAAGAGTGTACCCATTAAGTTTCTGCACTTCATCTTGTGTACCACCATCAGTCCATGTGGCATTTTTCAGCATCCAATTCTGGTCAGGCCTGCAGGCTGGCTACACCTCCAACTTCCCCTGGTGTATTCCCCCAAGTGCTTCCAGGACAACTCTGTGATTCAATTCCTCCCACATATCCTACATCAGCTCACCTCTCTCAGTGTTGGGCACTCCCAGACTGATTGTGGGTATGGAGTCATCAGCGATGTCGCTGTAATACTCTATAAACACAGCATCTTTCTCCCAGGTTGCCCTCACCACCGGTACTGTGAGGAGACAGAGGAATACAAAGAGACCAGGTGGGGGAGAGACAATTAAACCTCAAACATTATTCTCTCTGAACCATACAGGGCTCATAATTAAAACTATCTCTGAGTCCTTACTGGAAACATGTAAACTCCAAAGGAATCAAATGATGAATGACGTCTACGACATGTGACAGGACAGAGAGAAAACAATTAAGCTGTCTTTGTATAAGACACTGGATGACTACAGGCTCACTCACTGCATGCTGATCTGGACAAGAGCACCATTTGCTCGCTACTGCAAAATGATACCTGCCAGTTGTAATCACACATAATTGATTTTTTTATTAATGGCAAGAATTCATTCTCAATCAAATCCACTAACTGATTGATTGTGGAGTAAATCACAGTGACAGCTCACTCTGCAATTCTAATAGCCTGAATTTAAAGTAACGGCCAACTTAATTGCTTTAAAATAGTCGGTCCATAACTGCTGGCTCATATTGACCCTAAAAACACACATCAGTGTTCTGGATAATTACACAAACTGATGCAATTTCAGCAGACAGCCTGGATGAGGTTGTGGATTTAAACGAGTAGTTTTCACCTGACAGGTTAACTGGAACTGAAGGACCAGCAGACTGTTCAGCAAGTGGCAGTGAACAAAAAGGGGCCATGAAAAAATACTTTTGCAGTTAAATGTTGTGGAATTTTCATTTAATTTACACTTCATTCTGTGACAAACATAAACTGGAAGGATTCATTTTGGCAATGACAAATGAAAGTTTTGCACCAGATGTACAGCACAATCAACATTTTAGCAGCGTAGAGTTTACAGATTTGGTTTTGGAACAATTTCTGCTTACAAAAAACTGGTAAGCAGACACAGTGATACATTTTTGCATGTCATCTAATACAGTGGTTCCCAACTGGTCCAGCCACAGGGTCCAGATTTCTCCTTAGTCCTTAGTTCAAGGTCCATACAGTTTAATACATTAGGCGTCATACTTGTGTTTGGCCATGACTCAAGCTAGTTTGCTGTCTCTGTTAAGTAGCTGTCTGTTATTCACTCACTCTACAGCAGGAAACGGCACTTCAAAATAAAAGCTCTCTGCTGGAAATTCAATGTACTTAAAGCTGCAGTAGGTAGAAAGCCTGAAAACGGCTGATTTTTGAGTCTCATCTGAGGTTTCGTTCGTCTCCGCCCTGAGCCCCTCCTACCAGACGAGCACGCGAGTATTTTATCCTACTTCTTCTATTTCTCCTTCTCTGGAAGCCTCGGCTCTCCCTCACCGCGCAGCAGCCCACCCCATCCCTCCCCCGCGGCCCCGCACACATACCCCCAAGGCTCGGCTCTCCCTCTCCGCGGAGAGCCCTCGGCTCCGCTCCCACGGCCGACCCTCGCGCCCTCCGCCCAGGCCCGGCCCCACCCCACCCTTCCCCTCCCTCCAGGGTTCCGGGGAACCGAGTTTTGTCTTCCTTTTTTTGGGTTGTTTAGCTGTGTAGGCAGTTGCTGTGCTGGAATAGATATTTTCCTGGTGCACTGTTCACCATTGCCGCTTGCTCTCCCCTTCTGCCGGCAGCACGGAATCGCGCATATGCAGTAGAACAGCCAATAGGAACACAGTGGTCTGAGCTGACCTTTGATTGGTTGATGCACATCGGCACGATACTGATTCTTTAGAGGCTGAACACATTGTTTGTCTCAGACCACTTGATTTACATTATGCTTAGAGGATATTATAAAATTTTTACTCAATTACACCAAAACAATGTTGCCTACTGGAGCTTTAAAATAAAGTGTGTTTTTTACAAATTTGACACTTTTGCAAGTTACTTGTGGTCACTTTTGGACTGCGACCCACCAGTTGGGAACCACTGATCTAGTAGGTGTGTTGCATTGCTTAATTAAAAAAAAATCTCTTCACTGCATCTTTACAATGGACAAAAACATGTAATATTATATTTAAAGCTGTATTTGGTAAAAATAAGAAAAAATAACTTTTTTTCATATTTGCTGAAACTGTCACTGTATTCACACAGCACTACATGAGTCGGATAATCTATGAAAAAAATTATACGCTGCCTTTGCCTTGTGGCATTTCTAATGGCCTTACAGCACCTGAATGAAAACAACCAATGGGAGCCAAGGAGTCTCCATCATGTCACTGCTTTTGAGCTGCGGTCAAACTGTTGTTAATTTCTTGCCTCAAATGTTTTCAGAAGCATATTTTTGTGAACTGTTGAGCTTTAAAATGAGAGAGTTGGTCTGGCTGATGAGTGGTGCTTGGATCAACTAATATGTATCAGAATGTCAGTGCAGTAAAGTCATTACACATTTATTCTTGAGGACTGTACTTAAGTAAAATTTTGAGGTACTTTATTCTTCAACTCCACTACATGTCAGGGGAAATGTTGTACTTCTTACTCAGCTACATTCATTTGACAGATATAGTTGCCTGTTACTTTTCAGATTAAGATCTGTTACAGGTACCTGTTTTTCTGCAGAGTGAGTACTTTTACGTTTGATACTTTAAGTATATTTTGCCAATAATACTTTAAATTAAGCAGGATTTAGATGCAGGGCTTTTTTAAGTCAACATATTGGAACTTTTACTTAAAGTAAAGGCTCTGAAAATTTCATCTACCACTGCAGAATCTAAATTGTTTAATGAATAAATTTTGTCCTTTAAAGAGAGTTGGGAACAAGACACACCTACCTCGCTCTGAGTGGAATTTATGGCAAGTTTTCACAGCAACAAATACATCTTCCTTTGGCACTGGATCTCCCTAGAAAACAGACAAATCAGTTTGATTAATAGCTATAAAATGGAAAAAAGTGCACAGGTGAGAACAAACACAGTCTGAGGTAAACCATGTATGAGCTGTAATGGACTTGAAATTGAGTCGTGACGGCAAAATGAGGCACATTAGGTCCCAACAGTCATCATATGTTATCATCTGGCCAGACATGTCAACAATAATATCTCTTTTGCACTGCATTCTCATTTCAGGTGTCATTTCTTATTCCAGAAAATTACCAACAGTAATCTGGATGTTATTACTTATTTACAGCTGTCATTTCTGATCTGCTCCCCTTGCAGAATATTCAGTATGAACACCAGACATTTCCTGTGACGCATGACAGTGATTAAAAAAGCTCAGGATAAATGCTGCATTATTCATGAATTCTTTGTGACAGGTGCTCTTTACATTTATGTACATTTCAGGCACATTGGCCAAAGAATCTGGAGACAGAAGATTTACTTCATACAACAGGCATAGTGTAATGTGTATTTTTATATATTTGTATATATTACATGCAGATAAATTAAAGGATCACAGAAGCAAAAGGAAAGAAAACACATGCAAAGTATGGGAAATAGAACTATGTAAATGCTCATTAGTGTGCATGTAAACGCGCTCAGTAAGCGCATTTACATGCACACTAATAAACCGATCATTATCTGATTTCTGGAGTTACCTGATTATTCAAGTGGTCATGTAAACAGCATAATCCGATAGGCTTTATCAGATAAAAGCCATTATCTGATTATGAGAAATCAGATAAACACATCTAGCTTCTTCCCCAATAGTCAGATTATTCGGTGCATGTATACCCTTTAATCTGGTTTCTTTCGGGTTTTGCTATTTTATACTCCCACTCCACTACATTTTAGAGGGAAATATTGTACTTTCTACTCCACTACGTTAATCTGACAGCTTTTGTTTCCTTTCAGACAAAGATTCTACATAAAATAACATATTTTTATATTCTCTATAAGTTACTTATATGTTATGCACTTTGTGTGACAAGTTTATCTACAATATACTTGTATATTGCACTTTGCAGTACTTTTACTCTGAATCTACCCAAAGTATGTACAATTGGCTCCACATTGATAAACTACACATTAGAATGCTCTCACATGTATTTGTTAATGATAAAAACAAACAGTACTGTAAGAATATAAACTGTCAGCATGATGAGTGCTTTATTTTGCAAATATATGACTTGTGTACTTTTCGAGGTTTTTCAAGGATATGAGTACCTACTGTAACAGGAAGTTTGAGTTTTATGTCATGTACTTGGGGAGAAATCCAACTGATCATGTAAACCAGGTTTTTCTGATTATCAGATTATTGAAGTACACGTAAACGCGTCAAATCGGATTATTACCATTACCTGATTATTCCCAGTTATCTGATTATTGTGCACATGTAACCGTGCTCAGTGTCACTATACTGTTTCCGGCTACAGGGACATTGCAGAGATGCTGAGATATGCCATACCAAGAAATGCTGACCAATTTGAGTGGAAAGGGTTTTTTGGGGAATGGTGCTAAACACAGGTGTTCCAGCACAGAGAGTTAGAGGAAAATAAAGTGTTTCTTGACCATCAAAGCATGTAAACATGTTCTAGTAGAAACCCAAAATACAGGTATGAGCCTGAAAATGAGCATAACAAGTCCCCTTTAAGATTTTATGAGTGATGTCTTGAAGACGAACATTGTTTTGTGTACCACCTTTCTTCTTCAGCCTTATGTCAAACAAATGCTGCAGTGCTTCCTCATCCAGCACAGTGCAGTTAGCTGTGTGCTAGGTTTCCGTTTAGCACTGAGAGTGACTCGGCTCACTCATCCTTGCAGTCTGAGGGGACTTGTCTATTTGTATTCCTGTAGAATAGGCCTTGGCAGTGGTAATGTGTGTAATGTGCTCACTGTTTCACATTTAAATAAGCTGGACAGCTGAGTTGTAAATGCGATTTAAAGTGATGGATCGTAAAAGCTACCATTAGAGGTGTCCTTTATGTCCTCTTCTTGATAATTACCTCAATCAGAACCTAGTCATGCCCATATGAGCTGTGCGTATTCAGTCTAGCGCAGTAACACCTGTCACAACAGTGTTAACTGTGTTTACCTACGAAATAATTAATGCTCCTCTGGGTTGTTACTTTTTATGTTCTGTCTGTAATCATTTCCAAAAGTAAACTTGTCCATACCACATACAAGTACACTTTTATCCACATACACCCATATCCATATCACTAATGCACGCTCAGGAATATTCACACACACATACAGGCACACTCTTGAAAAACTTGTGCAAATTTTGATGTCAACATTACTAAATAAGAACTGTACATACACAGTTGGGCAGGTAGGTTGTGAATGTCGTAGCACAGTTGTCTCTCGACTCTGTACAGAACTCTGGAACTGCTGTCAGCTTTGGACCTTTTCCCTCCTCCCAAATGTACAACGCAATCTAGAAAAACAGAGACAGACATGATGATTAAAGTTGACCTAATGGAGTTATTTGCTGTGATAGGTACAACAGCTCAGTCTGGGTCGTCAAACAGTAAGTGAATTTATTTTTCTGGCAGCTTTGGAGCTCTTAATAACTCCATAAGCACTTACGTACCTGGTAAATTATTATTCTGTATTACCCAAAAGTCATTTGAGAATTCTTAAAGGGGACACACAGCTCACGGTTTAGGACTCAGACTTTGCATTTCAATATAAGAAGGAGTAACATTATGAATCAACGTCTTTGCTGTAAAGCAAAACACAACTTTACCTCAACTCTCATATAAGGACTAATTTAAAATTCTTCCATAATGTTATTTCAACCAATGCTAAAGAAAGGTTTACCCAAGAAATACTGACAAAGCGCTATAATTGTCACAAGCTTGATGTGCACACAAAAACACACATTCAGAAGTGTAGCTTTTGTATTAATAATACGAGAGTAGATCTACCAAAAGCTGCAGGCACAGAAAGCTGCAGGCACAGAAAGCTGCAGGCACAGAAAGCTGCAGGCACAGAAAGCTGCAGGGGTCTTTTCAACAAAAGGTTAGCCAGTCAGCGGAGGGATACTGTCTATCATCATTATATGTCTAAGCTTTTAAGCTCAGCAGGCAGCTTGAAAGATGACATAGATGACACTTTTCACAGCAGTTGTTGAGGCCTGAAGTAGAATTAAGTCTTTACAATAATTATCCTATTAAAGTAATGCTTATGGCAGTCCATCGACTTCGATGATGACATTGCTCCAAAATTTAAGTTCCTGTTATTGATTAAAAGATTAAAAGATTAACATTCCACTGATTGTCACACACCTGAGTGTGTGAAATTTGTTCTCCGCATTTGACCCATCCCCTGAGGGAGCGGTGAGCAGCAGCGGTGCCGCGTTCGGGAATCATGTGGTGATGTAACCCCCAAATTCCAACCCTTGATGCTGAGTGCCAAGCAGGGAGGCAATGGGTCCCATTTTTATGGTCTTTGGTATGACCCGGCCGGGGCACGAACCCACGACCTCCCAGTCTCAGGGCGGACACTCTACCACTAGGCCACTGAGCTGGTGCTGGGGTGCTTTCCACCTATGCATAGCCATGTGGCTGTGCAGGCCGATGCGAGATCCGCAGATTTTGCCACAAGACAGGCTGAGATATCAGCACCAGCAGGGGGAGGCCCTGTGGCACGTTGGTGCCTCTGTGTACGCCGCTGAATCCTCCTCTCTGTGGCTTGCTCCTGAAGATGAGCTATTCCCTGTTGGCAGGTGGCACGCCAGGTGTTGCGGGGAGCCGCAAGGGGCTCAAGTGCGGGTGGACTGATGTTGCACTTCTTCAGGAGAATTTGAGGTGATCCTTGAAGCGCTTCTTCTGGCCACCAGCAGACCTGTGGCCTTCTAAAAGCTGGCCATAAAAGATCTGCCTGGGAAGGCAATGGGCAGGCATATGGATCACATGCCCAACCCAGCGGAGATATTTGCGCGCAAGGAATACTGCAAAAAAGCTTTGCATTAAAGTAACAGGCAGGAGATGACACACAGATTCACATAACTGCAGGAAATCATTTTACAGTACCTCATGTTTCAAGTCGATGGTAAAGTCTGATTTCAGGTGATTGTGTTGGATCCGCTTGGCGAGTCTGAAATACATGAAAAGTAAAGATGTTGAAAGAAGAGACACCAACTTCATTTTAAAGATTGGATTTTTTGGGGGGGACCTTTTATGGGCCAACATAAAAATCAGTGGAGTGCCTGTTTAAAATTCAGACAAAAATGTGACTGTGACTGACATCTTTTCTTTTTTTGTAGTTTGTCTCCGTTTTTTTTAAGGTCACTCCTCATGTGTCATATCTTGTTTTACTTCCTGCCTGTGTCACTGTCCCACCGCCCCACCCTCATTTTTTTCCACCTGTCCCTCGCTAACACCTTCCTTCACTTGTGTATTTATGCTGCATTCAGGTGCTCCTCCTCCTTTCATTTAATTTGGTAAGTCATTCTTCCGATGTTGGTGTGTTCATAAGCATTAAATCATAATGTGGAAACAACATGAGTGCAAAGATGTACTGTATTTTATTGCTCACAGAGTTTAAACAACATGTTGATAACAGTTTGAAGCTTTATTTGATTGACTTTGTCCCAGACTTGTTGCTTTAGCAGTAAATCCCCGAAGATGACTGAAATATTGCTCTACCCGACTAAAGCTAATCAATAACTTTTCTAACTAATCTACTAGTCACTCTGCGTACACAGCAACTAACAGTTGCGACTTAAAGCCATATTAAAAATTAAATGTGAGTAAAATATTGACATGCAATGTGAGAATTAATAAAAGTTTATTACTATCAACTGAACATTTACTTTTGTCCGCCATGTGTTTGACAATTCTCACTGACTTTCCAGGTTGTTTTGATCTGAAGGGGTGTTCATGAAAATGTTCCCAGTAGGGAAGTAATTTTTTCAATTATTCTGACACCACATGAATACAGGATTAGTCTGTGTGTTCACACCGTTTCAGTGTCAGATCATCTCCGTTTGTTGTTGCTGTCCCTCGTTCCTTCAGTCATCCTGTTTCCCCCCCTTTTTTTCCCCCTTCTACTTCATCTTGTTTAGCCTCTTCCTTTAGTTTTTGTTCTCTGGAACCTGCTTGCCATTAAGGCTTGATTTGTTTGGTCATCATTCCTGCTTCATGTTCTGTATTTGGATCCTCCTCTGAAATGTGACAACTGAATTGTGACAAGATGATGATAAGGCTTCCTTGTTACCGCGTACCAACCCTCTCTTAAAAAAGTCAATTATAAACATTAATGTCAATAAAGCAGAAAGAAGAAACATATCAGACATTCATGCTCACACATCTGCACACACACACACACCTCTTAAGCAGTGGCGTGCTGAGAGCCCAGCCTGCTGCTGGGTCAGGGTAACTGAAGGAAGTGGGGTCTTCAGAGAAGGCATAATGGTGGATAATGGAGGCCTCGTTGTCATGGAGACGCTTACCCAAAAACCATTCCTGTAAGGTGCAAAAAGACAAGAAAGGTGCTCAGTTATTTTCTCAGTATTGCTTGTTTAATATGTGCACCAGTGCAGTAAAGTAACTCACTGTGGAGATACTCAGACAGCACACAGGGTTGAAGACTGTATATATGTAAGTGTGTGTGCATCTCACCTCTTGGGCTTGATATCTGGAGAGGACCTGCAGCAGAACAGGCAGTGCGATGCTGGTTTCCTCCTCGATGAAGAAAAACCAGGATGCTAAGTGACCATAAGTGGCAGAGAGGCTGAAAAGATCCACACGCAGCCGTTAACTTTATGCACTTATTTGCCCCGTAGGAATCATCAAAGCTAAATTCAATTAAACCTGATTTAAATCATTGGTTTATATCTCTATATGTGAGTTTAACACTCACTGAGGAAGCGCAGGGAGGATACTCCAGTCCCCTTCATACTGCGACAGCTCATGGAGAAGAACAACAACTGGAACTGCCTGCATGAAACAAAATGACTTGAAAATGAGAAGAAACTCTCTTTGTTTGTGTGTGTTTGTGTGCACTCCCCTGAGGGATGTGAGATAAGAGTAAAACTAATTTTAATTTATTACACTTGATGAAAAGCTGGGGTTTACCAAAGTTATTCCAATTCAACCTGAGGTTACTGGAGTGTCTGTGCAAAATGTGTTGGCAATCCATCCTCAGCATCCAGTGGCTGTTGAGATATTTCAGTCAGGACCAAAGTGTTGGACTGAACGACTAACTTAACCATCACTAGAGCCTCGCCGCTTAAGACTCTGAATGTTTCAACTGTCACATATGTCCATGTTAAGCTACAATTAAGATAAAATAGAATACTTGATTACATTATATGTCATACCCACAGTGATCCACGGTTACTTAATGTCCACACATTAAAGGTGACATGCAAGCACTCCTCTTTTCAGCTGCACTTTAGATTCTGAGGGTGTGAGACGGGGTTATTACCCTCTGTGCTGTAAGTGTTGTGGTGAGCTGTGGGTGAAAGGTGCTGAGAGAGCAGCATCCAAATGAAGTGACTCTATAATGAGGCTGGATGATGAGGCAGAAAAGATGCAGTGACGCTGACGTCTTGGATTAAACGCCATGTGACAGCTGTCACAGTGTTTATCTGTCCCCATGAAGTAAGGATGTGGATATGAATCTGTGTAAACAGAGCACTAACATAAAACTGAAAACTGTATGACAAACCCTTCGAGCTTCAGCAAATAAACGAGAACACTCAGACACTCAGACAACTTGCTATCAGGGTTTGAGTGTTTGGCACCTTTACTCTCCGCCTCCAGTCGAAATAAACACCTGTTTATGCGTCAGTCAAAAAAAGCATGACGCACAACCTTACCTCATTCAAACAGCTTGATACAATCAAAGTCTATCTCGCTGTGATAAACATCAAATCTAGAGAAAGGTTTCACTTAGACAACACACGCACTTCAGCACAAGCACACATGCAGTTGTTCACAGCACGTAAATCTGATTTCATTTTGACTTGACGCAATCACTCTACTCCCACAAAAAAAATATACATTCGTTCAGCTGAGCGACAGCTGCTTCTGTGAATTATATTTTAATGAATACGAAAAAAAGTTTTTGTGTATTTTCTATTCACACTTTTCATAGCACAGTAAAGTCTCAAACCACCCCCCAAAATAAAAACTTTACTTATATGGTATCAATAATCTAACACAGTAATAGGAAATGCTATACACATAAATCTCTGCATTGTTAATGCTGCTTAAAATCACTCTTACTTTTATTGATCTGGGCACTTAATTATTGATCATATTGCACTTACATCTTTACTACAACACCCCTGTACATCAGTGCTTTATCTGTTAGTGATGATTTATTCCAGCAGCGTCATATGAAGAACACTGAGATCAAAATATAAATTAAATTTTTCAAGAAAACTTTCAGAGAAGGTGGCAGCACTTTTTCAGCCCTGAAAGACGTCAGCAGACTTTAAAACTTTCTCCAATCTGAGTTGTATATCCTCAGAGACGGAACTGGGGGCGACTAGGTCCACACGGTGAATTATTTATAAAGCCTCTTACTTTAAAGAGTAAACACCAATAACACTAGATGACATCTGGACCGTTATGAATAAAACTGACTTCTGAGACAGTCCAACAATTCTTGTTCAACAGTAGAACTTTGAGGTTCAAGTTTTTTAGTGTAACATGCTCAATAGAGCAGTGAAAAAGTTTTTGTTCTTAAAAGCTTTGTATGAAGAGGATTAAAGTAAATTTCAGGAGCAAAGGTGTCATGTTGGTATCACAGTTTCATGCACACTTGACATGATTAAGATGTGTATTTTGAAGCATGGAAGAAGAAAGCTTATTCAAGATATTTCCCCTAAAGTTATGTTGCCAAAATGCTATTTGGGATAATATTAATAGAAATCTTCAAGGTCTAAATTAAGGATATAGTAACCCTTTGAGGAGAGAACCATCTAATGTGGCGATGAGTTTTTATAGTTTTATATTTTCTATTAGTTTTTATTTTCCCAGAGTGGGGTTTGCTAGTTTTAGTTTAGTTTTTATTCGTTTCAGTTAGTTTTTCTCTTCATTGTAATATGGGGGGTATTTTTCTGAGTCAATTAAGACATTTAGAATAGGTACATAGGGCACCTCCCATTAGAGGAGCGTCAGCCATGTCCCACTGGTAGGAGGCCCCGAGGCAGACCCAGAACACGCTGGAGGGATTACATATCTCATCTGGCCTGGGAACACCTTGGGGTCCCCCAAGAGAGGGACGTCGGGTGCTTTGATTGGCCTGTTTTTTAACACCTAGTTTTAGTGTTTAGTTAAATTTTAGTTAACTTCAACAACCTTGATGGGAGCCCTATTTGTATGATATGATGATATGATAAGCAAATCCATGTTTAATTATTTCCATTTGCCAAACAAAGAATTTTGGGGTCGTCATAAAAAATGAAACATTTCATTTAAAACTTTATTGGTAAGTTTATTTTTTCAGAATTAGTTCAATCTGACATTTGATTTAACAAGTTATAAATGACAGCGTGGAGTTTGTTGACAACAGAAGGCTCATTTATTTTTGTGACTATTTTATAACCCAGGAACTAAACTTCAACTTTATTTATATAGCCATACCTCTCATTTAAACATGAATCATGATGTTCTTCACTTCATAATAAACTGATGTTCCTCAAAATTCTCACTAACTGCATTTTCTTTGTCTCTCAGGGAGAAATTGGTGCGGAAACACCTCAGACTGCCACCGCCAACACACGGCTTCGAAACAAAACAAAAGAGATGTCAAATTCAATCATCGATCCCACTCTGTTCTTGGCCAATCGTTCACTGATGTGTTCAAGTTTTGCAGCTGTTTCACCACATTTGTTTGTTTACAGGCTGCAGTGTGATGGCAGAGGTCGCTTCAAAAAGAAGACAGACTCAGAGAGAGGCTGAGAGACGATCATTATCAAATCACTGCAAATGGAAAAACAGCTGCAACTTCTTGGATCGACCACATCCCCACAAAAACTAATGAAATTTGAAAAGTAAGACATTTTCAGTAGTCTAGGGAAATAAAGATTTCATAACAGTTTTATCAGCTCCGCAAAGGAGGTTGTGTTTTCAGTTTGGTTTGTTTGTCAGCAGGAGCATGGAAAAAATTACTTCTGTTTTTTCATGAAACTTGGTGGAAGGTGTAGCACGGGCCAAGGAGGAGAGGAAGCCATTAAATTTTGGAGCGGGACAAACACACAAATGACTTCTCACTTTGGTTCACACTGCAAGACACAGCTTTCGGTCTGCTCTCTCCAAGTGCCCTTCTAGTTTCTAATACACTACTCCAGAAATGATTCCTCAGAGCCCCTGCTGACTGCCTTCTGACATTTTTTTCTGTCTGAACTGAACATGAGATTATAGACTGCATGACTGTCTCTTTTTGTTTCACAGTAGCTGCTCCCATCTAAGGAAAATCAACAGTTCTATATCTCTTCTGTAGGCTGTCTTGTCCATATGCCTGTCACCTCATTTCACAGAGCTCTGTAACAGCTTCGTTTTCACAGCGACCCCGCAGGCACATATTAGTAAATAATTACAGTGTGAGAGTGGAGAGCTTGGTGCCTGTCAGCTCTGTTAGGAGAGCTCTATGGCAAGGAGGACACCTATTGGTGCCAGTGTAAAACCACAGTAACACATAAGCTCCAAAAGTCACATGACAGCTTAAACTGCTTGCAGCATCATTCTCCTGTTACTGCCAGCACACCACATGGCATGTATTCACTTAGCATATACGCAACATGAGCTCTTATTGTGATTACAATATTTGTTGCTCCATGCCATAAACAAAAGTGCTGTATATAAACACACCGAAAGCACTAAGATAAGTTCGATGGAGCTAGGAGGACCACGTCATCCGCAAAAAGCAGGGACGAGATCCTCCCATCACCGAACCTGACACCCTCCACCACTCCACTGGTGGTGGAGGGTGTTAGAAAGTAAGAAAGTAAGATCATTTTTCTTTACCAGAAACAGCCCCAAAAGCGTTACACCAAACTCACCAGACTGCTAAATAAACAATAATTGTAGCGTATATAGAGCAGTACATTTTCACATCTAACTGTGTGAACTAAGGGTTTATTTTGGCCAAACCAGACTTGGTGATTGTTTGTGAGTATTATTTTGTTTCTGTCAACTTGGAATGAAGTGTGTTTTACGATGATAAATAAGACTTATTCAAATGGAATCTGGTGGGTTTCATGATTGTGATCTTGAGGCTGTTTTTTGTTCATCAAAAAGGATCATATGGTCTATCTCTGTAGGAATACTTTCCATAAATTGTCAGACACCTAAAATGATAATCAGAGCATGTCAGTGGCAAAAACAAGCACTTTAGTGAACATAAATTGATGGTTCAAACATGCCCCGAGTGGTTGCATTGCAGCCTGTTTTGCCACTGCCGTCTGCAGCATTCTTTCTCAATGCTGGACCAGTTTCTAAGATTGTTGTTCCCATTAGTGAGTTAGACACAAAAACACAAGAAAACATGATCCTGGTTGAATAGTACTGAACTTACCCTTTTAAAATATTTCACTTAAAACCACAAATGTCATCCTCCAGGTGGTGCTAACAAAGAAGTCAGGGGATCACCAGCATCAATCAGATTCATGACTGTTTGTACAAAATTTTATGACAATTCATCAAAACAGTTCTTGAGATATTTCAATCAGGACCATCTGTGGTCCCCAGAGCAACACCGCTAGCATGGCATAAAAGCAGAATCAAATAAATTAACCAATGTATTGAGAATTTTAGATTAGATTTTTTTTAATTTAGATTATTAAAATTTTACAAATTATTTTGAAAGGTTATGGTACTCCTCTTATTTTCATTGTGAGAGTTTTATTGGAGTTAATTTTCCCTATGGATACAATAACAGCACACAAGAAAGACCAGAGCTAAGATCTAAACCCAGTAACAGTGCTCGTCCACTGCCTGCCACATATTACCTGTCCCAGTTCAGCTGCCTGCTGCAGTATCTCCACCTTCCTCTGAGCACCTCGACGGGCATGGAAGGAGTTCCTCTGACTCTGGATCACTAACACCACCTCCTCCAATCCTGAAAAACATGCACAAAAAAGTAAGTAAGTAAAATGTATTCATAGAGCGCTTTTCGCAGACATAGGCCATAAAGTGCTGCACAAGGGCAATATACATAATGAAAGGAAACACAGAAGACAAAGTGACTACGAAAGCCACATACTTAAAGTTGCTTAATTAGCAAAACTATTTGCACAAAAAAAAAAAAAAATCACAATCACAATGACACAGATGTATTTATTATAACCAACAATCTTAAAGATTTTGCTGTCTGGGTTGCGCTTTTCACTCACACTCTGTGAATCAAGTCAAACCTCCTTAAATGCACCACATATTCAATTTGCTTTCCCAAACAGTGCTACAGTGTGGACAAAACATCAGAGAATCTGCAGTGAAATCCCTCACTCACCAACAGAGCTGTGTGCCGTGTGCTCCTGGAGCTCTGCTGCCTGCGGGGAGTCAGAGGGATTCTCGTTAAGTCTGACACAAACTGCTGAGCCACATGATGAAGCCATAATCACAGCAAGAATCTGGGGGCAGCACTTACATGAGCACCACCTGTGTGATGGTCTCCAGCAGAGGCACCTTGCGGCAGCGAGAAAAGAAGCAGGAGCATCATTATAGCATTAAAATGCATCAAATAGTTGTGCTGACATGAGTGGCCAATTAATCATTTAGTCAATTTGATGATCGGTGGATCAAAAGAAAATCAATTTACAGCGGATGCAATATATCAACAAAAATGGCTGTATCACTGCATCGTTGTACATTTAAAAAAAAAATCTATTTGGGTTGTGGACTGTTTATCAAACAAAACAAGGTCACAGATTATGTAACCTTGGGCTCTGTGAAATTGTGATGACACTATTTCCTAGCACTCTGAAAGGGCCAAATGTCCCCTTAAATATTAGTGCAAAAAAGTCTGAAACACGTATATGAACACAGGACAGGAATCACTTTCACCAACAACACATCATAGTATGACATGAATTGATGGTGCAAGCACAGCCTGAGCAGTAGCAGACCCAGCAGCAGTAAAGCAGTTGATTTCTTGTGCACAAACACCTCTTATCAGTATTTTACCAAGATAAAACAGAGACTTTGAATCCAAGAAAACTCCAAACAGACTTTGAAACCACAACAGCTATAGTTGCTACCTCTCAGTGTGTAGGATGTGTGGCAGTAAACAGTATAATGTGTAAGCATGTCAATGCCAAGGGTACAGATAGGGCTGGAAAACATTTTTGGGCCATTCTTCGTGGACACTTTAAATAGGTATTTGATATCTAAGGTAATTAATACCCGATATATTTCCAAACACATCAGCCAAAAGGCCTCCTTCAAGGCAGACATTTTTAGTATTTATGGAAGTAAAAGCACAGGTGTAATTATTAAGATTAATGATTGAGTAACCCAGAAAGTCTGATAGTGGATGGAATGCAGCATCTTATACTTTACAAGTGTCTCTTTTAAAGGCCCTGCACAGCTACGTCACCCACACAGGTGTTTTCACTTTGCCTAATTAGGCCTCTCCTTAGGGCTGTATGATTGACCTCACTCTCCTATTACATTTGTTGCACCTGTTAGGTGTGGACAACTTGCCCAGAGGTCTAACTGGTCAGAGTAACTGGGAGTGCAGGGCTTTTCACATTTTATCATGTCTGCTGCAGTTGAAGAAATGGTTACAGTTGAAGCACGACGTTACAGACAAATGTGTAGTTCCATTTCACTCCAAATAAAATGAGCATGGGCTGTACCTTGATTCACAATCATCTTAATTCTTCCCAGGAAAGCTTCTGTGTATTTTAATGTGCGCATACTTTTCCATGAAGTATATTTACAGATAAAAAAAAATATCTTTTACATGATATATTCGATTACACTGACGTGCACCACTGTACTTTCAACAGCCTCTTGTTTGCAAACCCCATGGGACCACCTGCATTTGATTGTGGTGCGACAAGCTAGCCACTATAAAATCACCAGTTCCTGTTTTGAATGTCAAAATAAAACAAAATAGCCGACATTTCGTGGCAAAACCAGAACCATGGTATCATTAACTAATAAATTAAATAGTTAATGTAATATCCAAGACATCTTTTCATACATGTTACCACTGTAATACACCTAATGTCCTGTCATAGTACGCTAATAACTTTACTTTGAAGGCCATATCGAGCCAACTTCCGGTATCTCTCAGCCGGCCTGACGCAGTGTATCCTGCTTTGTGCTAGCGGTTTAGCTAACACATTAGCCGTCTCAGCAGGGCATAGACCCCACTTACCAAGCCAGAGAAGGAGCACGGCGACCAGTTTGCATCCGTTCACCACATTATGGCGTGACATGGTTCCTGTGGCTGCAGTTTTTCGGTTGAAATCACCGTCTTCTCATGGCGGAGTGGAGAAATTGGTTAGCTGTTGGCTACATTCCTCAACTGGCAAAACTCGACTGTAGTGACTGTTAATGCGGAGCATTAGCGACCTCTAGCGGTCAGTAGATTATTATGTTACTACAAGACATGCTGTTCTGGTCTTCTCTAATATAATATATCAAATATATCATGTAAGTTATATTAAAAGGTACTTTTTTCACGTTTAGCCACATTAAATTGTCATCAACTAAGACAGTTAAATTTACTATAGGCTACCTACTAGTTGAGGTACTTTATTAGAGTATTGTTAATTTCTTTATATTTCGACTTCACTTCATTTCAAACAGAAATACTGTTATGTTTACTACCCTACAGTTATTTGACAGCTATGCTATAGTTACCAGAAGATAATGATTTTACTCACAAATATGATGGCTTATAAATCTATGTTAGACTACCCAGCAGTTTGTAATATAAAGTAGTTACAATGATCTGATGATGAATGCTGCTCAGATACTGGTATATAGCCGCATTCAAGGGTATCATAATCATTCCAGTTTATGGGACACAAACAGTGGGCCGGACCAGTCCAACCATTGCATAATAACCTATGAATCACAACACCCACAAACTGTTTATTTTCTTTTAGTGTAAAGAAGTACAAGTACATTCATCCATTCACAAAACAGGTGATGAACATAAGTGCAATTTCCATATGTTTACACTCCTGTGTAGTAATGCTGGCATCACCACACCAAACTAAAGTGGATGCTAATGAGGAAGGACGCTAAGTTATACCCTCCCTTACAACCGTTTACAAATACATTTTCTGGCAGTGCCTTGGCAATAGGGTTCCATTAATGTTGTTATGAGATACTGATACAGTCTGACACAGGTTTATTTGTACTGAAGCTGCTGATTGACAACACTTTGCACAGTATCCAATATCTCTAAATATGACCACAATAAGTATTTATTGTTATTTCAGAGAGCTGTATTTGGTCAGGATGGAAAAGCCTCTGAAGCAGCATTTTACTGGACATTCCCTGTAGCGACTGCAGGAAACTAACTAAAAGCCGCAGAGAGGCTGAGGCTGGGCCTTTTTAACTTGTCATCCAAAAAATATGTTAAATAAATGTATTAACGAAAAGGAATCAACTTATTATAAGGCATAGAAATAATAGAATAATCAAAATGATTACGAACAAAAAAAGCCTCTCTATCCAACCATAAAAGCACACAGGTGAACATGAGATGCTCATACAGATCATTAGTGTCACTGCCCATATCCATGTGACCCAACTCTCCCAGTAAAACATCCCAAAAGACTAACACATTTAACATACTAAAATATAAACCATTCCAAAACGTATTCATCTTACAAGATTTATTCTTTTCTAAATGAATTAACGGCTCCTACACTCACTGTTTAATTTGCTCCTGAAACCTAGCACCTCTTAGCCTTCGTAGTGCATCAGTATTAGGTGTGCAGAGTCATCCAGTGTGCCGGTTTGGAGCCTTTGGTGGGCCAGTTTTGGTCAGCAGCCTGTATGTTTGACACCCCTTGCCTTAGTTATAATAACCCAGTATCCAGTATGATAAATGCTCTGGCCATTGTACTGCCTAATGAGTACTTTAAGTACACAGTGTTGTTAACACTGCGTTTATAATGAGCAACATTTTTAATAAATTGGATTTTTAAAGTTAATCTGCTAAGAAGTAAATTAAATATTACCTGTCTTGTTTACAAGCAGTAAGGAACCTAACTTTGTCTGCACATGACTGATACACACACACACACACACACACACACACACACACTTAGAATCAAATTAAAGTAGTTATTATGATGGCTCTCTACCTCTCAATCCTGCCCTTTAATCCCTGGACTGATCTGAGAGCAGCTACTGGTCCATAGAAGCTTCACTGTCTGTCTCAGTCTGTGCCCTCCACAGGGAGGTCAGAGGTTAGCCACAAAACAGAAATGTACAAGTTTTACAAAGGTTGTTTTTGTCAGGAAAATTGTGTTTTGTTCCCAATACAGGGCGGGTATAGTATGGTCTCATATGAGGAAGACGTAGGCTATCCAGAGAGGAGGCTGAGAGCATGATTTCTGCTGTAGGCCGTGCAGACTGGTGGGGACATCCAGAACAAATGAGTCAACGGTCTGCTGACCACTGAGTCTGCTTCTTGGCCACAAAATTTAAACAGGCGGCTTGTGCTTGTGCTGTGAAACCACAGCTGTGAGTGTTCACATTTTTGTGCGACCAATTTTGAACTTTACGGAAAGAGATCTGAACAAAAGAGCTGTGCTGTATAGCTGCTTGGAAGGAGAACCGTGTAAATACTATATGCTCAGAGGGTTAAAGCTGCTATGATTCACTCCAACACAACTGGGACACTTGATCAAACACTTATAGGCTGCAATAAAACCAGAGTGGTGATTTATGGATCTGTTTTGGACTGTCTGATGTGTTATTTGCTGAGGAATGCTATAGTAAGTAAATGTCGGCCAAGTCATCTGAAAGGTCTGAGCAAACATTGCTTATGAATAAAAACTGCAACGTGATCAGAAAAGGTCGCACGGGGAATTAGGTTTGTTGATATGAAACAAATATGAAGCACACTGATGTTGTCAGTGCACCACAAAGGCTCTCAGGTGACTCATGATGTTTGAATTAAGGTGCTGTACTTTTCCTGCTGCTGCTGTTTCTCAGCACAAGGCCAAATGCTGCCTTCAAGTGGCTTCTCGTAAAGTCTGAATGCACGGCTTTATGAGAAGCCATTAGTCTTTTTAAGTCTCAATAAACATTTAGGTTTTTTATTTGTTTGATGTTCTCACTGATTTATTTGTATAATAACGGTGTATTTTTGATCATCATTTACTTTATTTGCTCACTTACATATATATAGATATAGATATATACACATACACATATACCTGTTTAAATGAAGGAACGCTCTTGACATGAGTCTTGATAAATTATAAAGTCCTCAGAAGTATCTTTGGAAGAGCTGTGTCATAAATCCACACAGCTGTGTCCCTACAGGTCATGATACACATCATAAAACAGGAAGTTAATACATTTGCCTTCAAAATAAAGTTACCTTTAGGGAAATATTGATAGAAAATCTATCTATTTATGATGTAACTTGTTTGTCTTCAATTATGTGTAGGCTCTTATGTGTAGTTTTGCTGCCTCCATGGAGTACCACTTTGGAATTAGGTGTTTTTAGTGATGTTTTTAAGTGCTGTCCTCTGGGATTTTTTATGTCATGATACTCCTGTGAATCATGTGCTGTAAAATTCCATGCTAAAATCAATCATTAAAGCCTGAACATTATCAGTAAATATGCTTATGTATATCCTTCTGAGACTCTGCGTCCTCATATTAGGACATTGCATTTTAGGTTTCCAGCACCTTATACTTTATTCTGCTTAACTTAAACCTGTTGTTCTCATTTTTGGACACTTTAATGCTCAGTCTGCAGCTGATCCCGACACAAAAGTGGACAGGGTACTAAACCTGATCACATTTTTATGCATGAAACTTGTTTATTTTTACTAAATAAACAAGTTTGTAGTTAGATTTGGCATACACATTTGACAAGTATTAGCAACAGTAAGGAGCTAAAATGCTGTAATGATTAAGGAAGTACTTTTTGGGAAAAAAAAACTTGTCTTCATATGGAGACAATGGGTCTATATTTAAAAGTCACAAGTGTGTGATAAATTATAAAACTGTTTATTTCAACACCTGAACACTGATGTGCAAAAACAAAATTACAAACAATGCAACAATTGTTTAATGTGTTGTAACTCTGTGGGTTAGAGGTCACTGCTCAAGTCTAAAACTGTTCATAACTGTTCATTTCAATGCCTGGACAGGGCTGTGCAAAAACAAAACTGCACATAATGCAACATATATAAAAGCCTTGTGATATATATATATATATATTTTTTTTTTTTTTGTTTTGTTTTGTATCTCTCTACTAAATTTTAACTGCTCCGTCCTCCAAATGTCAAATGTCCTTTTTGTCTGTGGAGCATTTTAGCTCGTTACTGTTGCTAAAAATGGTCAAATTTGAATGCCAAATCAAACTACAAACTTGTTTATTTGCACTAATGAACAAGTTTCGTGCATAAAATGTGATCAGGTTTTGTACCCTCTCCAGTTTTGTGTTGGGATCAGCTGCACACTGAGCAGAAAAGTGTCCAAAATTGATTATATTATATTATATTATATTATATTATATTATATTATATTGCATGGGCGTTTTGGCCAGCGCAGACCGGAAGTGCTGTTGTGTCAACACATCCAACTTGACGGTGGTTAATAAAGCTGCGTGCTTGAGGCAGGGATTATAAACAGCAGCAGCCGCAGCAGCAGCAGCAGTGAGAGGAAGAGGGGGACGCACAGGAGAAATCTGAGGCATCATGACGATAAACAAAGCGTCCAACAACAGCAGGATGAAGGTGACAGAGGTGGAAGAGTTCCTGAGAAAACCTCCGGCCGGTTTCTCCGTGGAGGCTCTCACATCGGGTTACAGAGTCCACAGCGACCCGGAGACAAGCCTGGTGCTCATCGATGACTTCGACTCCTGCAGAGGGAGAATAGTTTTCCACAAGTCGCTGGGAAGGTGAGGAAAAATAAGACTGGATGGGATGATGCACGGCTCTTTAAATACACTTGTTTACTTTAAAAAAACTAATATGAAACGGTCTGGTTTTAAAACAGGAAAGTTAAAATGCACAATCTATGGGAGTACACCAGCATGAGGAAGAGTCTGCTGTCCAAGAGGATCTATCTGCTCATGTCTGCCTGTGAAGAAAACCTCTCAGTGGCCAACAAGAAGGCAGCAACTGAACCCAGAGGTAACTTCAACTGCACCCTACCATTTCCCATAAAACCTCAGCATGACTCAAATCACACAAAGTGTAATTACACTGGAATAATGAAACAGTAAAAACAGTAAATGGGCCTTAAAGGCACCACTTGCACTGCCCTGCTAAGTGGGTCATGCAGTTTGGTGGCAGGGGTGACTCATGCTGGCTCCCTAACTTGGGATTGTTGCACTGGGTGGAGTGGGTAAATTACACTGGCAGCACAGTACTTGTGGCACATGACAGCATGTTTTCCTGCACTCTTTTCTCACTGTTTTTCTCATGAGTTATCTTCGACTGTGTTTCAGTGCTGAAGCAGTTTGTGGTGTCTTTCGACGGCAGGGATCCTTTCATCAAGTGGCAGATGGAGAGAGGCCTGGACTGGACCATCTCCTCTGTTGCTGGGGAGAGCTACAGAGTGGATGTAAGCAGGGTGTTATGGTCCTTCTGTCACTTTAATGTTCGTTAGACCAGTGGTTCCCAAATGGTGCAGCCACAGGTCCAGATTTCTCCTTAGGCGTTAGTTAAAGGTCCACACAGTTTAATACATTCAGCATCATACTTGTGTTTGGCCATGTCATCGAGCAAGCTTTCTGTCTCTGCGCAGTAGCTCTCCGTTATTTAAGCACTCTACAGCAGGAAACAGCACCTCAAAATAAAACCTCTGTGTCGGAAATTCACTGTACTTCAAAATAAAATGTGTTTTTGACTAACTTAAATTTTTGCAAGTCACTTTCAGACCTTGACCCACCAGTTGGGAACCACTGCATCAGACTCCAGGAGCTGCTGTGTTTGTATTCTTGTACTGAACATAACCTTTCCCCATGTCAGATTGACTTGACTGAAGTACTAGAGAGCTGGGCAGCCAAAAACATCATCATCATCACTGACGAACAAAAGAAAGTCCAACCTGTGTGGAGAGACACCACCTTCACCCTCAAATACTACTCTGATGCCCTGTTTGACTTCCCACACTGGTTTGGGTTCAGCAAAAGAACATTTAACGTAAGTTTCCTCTTAACATAGTAACCATAACATTTTCTGTATGTTAGCAAACACCTGTCTAACCTGTCTTCTCTGCTCTGTTACTATTAAAGTTGAGACTAACATGAGCCAGCGGTGGATGGAGAGAACGAAAAAAATGGAGTTTACTGATGGAGTCTGCTTCCTCAAGAAAGTCCTGATCAGCAGACGTATGGTTGTAACCTGCCAGGTGAAGGACCAGCCTACCTCTTGGGACTGCAGAAACTACTTTGCAGTCATTTTGGGTGCAGATACTGACAAGGACTGAGAATGAAATTCTGAATGCCATGAAGTTTATTTAAGCAACTTTTGTGTATAAACTGATTTTTTTTTCAAGTGTTTTTTGCTAATAAACACGCATGTACCTCAGTTGATTTACATATGTTGTATGAGGGGTTGAAGGCGTCAAATCTGTGTCAGACTTTTGTACAAAAGAATCAGCGTTTGTTTATGAGAAGTTTTTATTTTTTACCAAGCTCAAACACAATAAATGTTCTTTTACAAAAAAAAAACGAGTACAGAGTTTTAATTGAGTTCTCATAAGTTAAAAGATAAATGTGGGGTTGCCATTATGTGACACACACCAACTGGACTAAGGGATGAGGAGAAGAGCAGATGCAGCGTTGGCGATGGTCTCTACGTATTCCTTATAGCCGTTGCCGTAGAAGCGCACTAGCAGGTAGCTGGAGATGCCCACAATGCACATCAGGGACAGGAAGCCGAGGACGCGTTTTCCAAACAGGTAGCCTGGAGTGCTACAAGGAAATATGAAAATATATCCATTAGATACGTGCCTGTGAACACACACTCACAGCACAGATCACTTGTGTTAGTTTACCTTTGAGAGGTTTGTCCCATGTATCCAACAAAGTACTTCTGCCTGACTACAAGATAGATGATCCCGGCAAAGGCAGCAGGCGCTTCAAACACACGACAGAAAAAGATTTTAAGAGATATATCCTGTGCATGTGGTTTCATAATGCACTACGTGACCAAAAGTTTACGCACACCCATTTCCACTTTTGCCCAGGAGCTGTGTTTCACAGTTTGGACAAGGCCCCTTTTTTCACAGAGTGCAGTCATGTTTTTGTTTATGTATTTATCTTATCAGTGAAGCCAATGAATCTGTTGGCAGAGGGCGAGCACGGACATGACGACTGACTGTTTGCATTGTTTGTGCAGGAAATTCCTGCTCCCACTTCAGACGGTCAAACTGTAAGACTAAGAGGCTCCCTGTTAATTGTTTTATAATGTGTTTTATATGCTGGTTTAATGTGTTGAGACACGGGCACTGGTGAAGCTTTCAGACAAGGGTGAGTAAGCCTTCCTTTGCAAGTAGAAAAGTCTTGTAAAAGTTGGTAACAAAAAAGTGGATTAAACAAGTGTTTAAAGAGCTGCTGACAGACTGTAGTGTATGAAGAAAATAAAATATGGATTACTGGGTGAACGCTGGGTTTCATATACATGTTTTAGTGTACATGTAAACTTATTTCTTTATGGCAAATCCCCTAAAGCAGCCTCACTACTTCCCACCCCACATAAAATATCTTTTACCGTACCTGGATGGCTTTTGCCTTTTCGTTTTCTCGTATTCTAACACTCTACACATACACTCCAATCCACCACTGCCTTTGCTGTTCTAAGTATTACTGGTTGAATATCTGTTGATCTTAAGAGAGTCTTCATGTGTCAAAGTTGCAGATGAAATAGGATACAGTGAGTTTAAACGTGAATTCACTATGTCAATAAATTCTGCCAAAAGCAACCCGTCTGATAGGAGGAGGAGGTTTATGAAGAACTGGTTTTCCCCAGTTACCTGACCTGCACAGATCCCTGACCTCAACCCCACACTTTTGGGATGAAGTGGGACTCCAACGGAGAGCTGTGCCAGATTGACCTCATCAGTGCCTTAAATCTCTGATGCTCACGTGGCTGAATGGGAGCAGCCAGGCTCCAAAATCTTGTGGAAAGCTTTTTCTGAAGAGTGGAGGCTGTTATAGCAGCACAATAATGTGCATGGTTTTGGCATGAGATGTATGCGCATGTGAGTGTCCACGTATTTTTGGCCATATAGGGTAAGTGTTACTAATTTTACTATTGGTGCAGTTGGCTCTCAAACATAGATTAAGAAGTGCAAACATAAAAAGATATTTACAGAACATCAAGTGCTTTTTCTCAGCTGTATTGACTCTTTGGGGTGTGTTCTGTTTACAGGGCAAAAATGTGACACTCTTATACGGTAACTGACTAATGATTACCTTGACTGAGACACAGACCGGCACACCACATCACTGCCAGGAAAGTGGGATAAGCATCCATGCAGTTGCGACTGAAAAAGCGCAAACAAGAGGTGCCATTAGCACATCTCGAGGAAGTCACCTGCAAGACGAAACTATGAAGCAATCTGCAAACTGTTAACAGACAGCGTGGCCCATTTTCTTTGGCTGTTAGGAAATGTTTTAAAACTGCAGAGCAGAAGTGGCTGTTAAAAAAAGAAAAAAAATCAACGGGATAAAACAGTGCATGAGCTAGAAACCCCAGTGAGGCTGTCTGGAGGAACAGAGTTGAAACGGGAAGCCAGGAAAAGTTGAGCCCACTCTCCCAGTCAGCACGCGCTGGCTGTTGCAACACATTGCAATAATCAGTACAGTGTGTTGCGCAGAGCCGTGTCCCTCAAACGTTTTCCAGTCGCACGCATGTCAGGAGAGTCATCCAAAAAACATTAACACTCAGAGCAGGGGTTCTCAACCTGTTGGAGGGGACCCTAGAAGGGGTCCCGTGATAAATCTGAGGGGTCACAAGCTGAGTTTCTTGTGAAACACTGGACACTTAAACCTCTTTACACCTCAAAAACTATTTAACAAGAGACATGACATAAACAGGTAATTTTTAAACTGTCACCGAACATTTGCATCATATTTTAAAGGCTAATGTTTGAAATCCTCACATAACCTTCAAGATAGGATGTGGCTCAGATGTTTCCTTGTAAAAACAAGAAGTGCATTGCTGCCTGTGGACTAACAGAGCTAATGGATTAAAGACTGAGATACTGTGTCAGTCACAAATATTAGATTTGAATTTCAAGCTTTAGCCCAATCTTTCAAACGCGTGTAAGTGACGCAGTGTGTGCTGCACCATGCTTTAACATCTCTAGTGCTGCAACTTATAATCATTTTCATTATGAATCGTTTTTGTTGACTATTTTTTTGAGTAACTGATTATTGTGTGGTTTATAAAATGTCAGAAAAAGATGAAATAATTGTCAGATTGTCCGATCAGTGGTCCAAAACACCATCACATTCAATTTACGATGATAACAAACAGAAAAAATCAGAAAATCCTGACTGAAATAAGAGAATGTTTGGCTTTTTTGATCAATTTACTGACAAAATAGTTGACAAAATTCATCAGTTAATTGTTTGTTTGACTGTTGAAATAAGGAATCTCAGAAATTGGGTAAATTTGCTCTTCCTTTATGTGTCAAGTGGTTTTGCAACAAGCGTAAAAGTCACATTTTTTGAGAAACAATCTTGCTTTCATGCTGCACGTGATCCCTGGATGGTAATTTGACAGCCTAACCCAGGCCGCAGACTGCAAATACACGAGCAGTATTCACTCCTTTAACTCAAACACAGGATGATGAGTCACCTAACTGAGAGGCTGGAAGAATAAATGTTTTCCTAATGGCTATTGTTGCCTTCCAACATTCAAATGAGCTCTGTACCAGTTTTTTTTTCCCCTATCTGGGAGTGCTCAGGCAAATGAGGGCTGCCTCGCACTGGAGGTGATATTAGGGGGAATGTAAAACCAAATGGAAAGTTCCTGGGTGTTATAGCAGGAAACAAAAATAGCACAATCCCCCATTGTTGTTCCTGGTACATGTTGTGTTAGATTGACAGAGTATTGATGAAGGGTCACTTACTTGGCACAAGAGACTCGTTCAAAAGCAGCTGCGTTGACATTTTGAGTTTTGCACTCCTTCTCCACCTTCAGGGCGAAGAATGCTTAAAACACAGAGAATTAACATCATCACTACATTAGCTTAATTTCTTTACTGATTTAGAATTAAAACAGATGATTGATGCTTTTTTCTGTTTCTCACCGTTCTGAAGTACACTGATTAGGGTGACTATGACCAGGAGGTAGATGTTTTCCACCACTACGAGGTTCATGATGACCTTGCGAGTTGCGGGAGCAGGTGGATGGAGAGGTCGAGCTTCACGTCCAGAAGTGTGTCTATGCTGTGCAGCTTGCAGAACATAAACCTGATCTGTCCTGCTGTGACATCACATGCTCCCCCCATCCCACCTCCATCCCACATACACACTCATTTGCGGCTTCCTCTTTATGTAAATGATGCTCTGGCTTAATACAGAGAGGTGCCAGCAAGCTGCCTGAAACTTCCTGTGTGTGTGTGTGTGTGGAGTGATACTCACCAGGTCGCACACACATGCATGACTACAGTTTCACACAACAAAATTTGCATCGACGTTACTCTATGATTTGGCGTTCATCAAAGGGCCCTGTATAGAGTATCACTGGCAAATGAGCAGGACCTATGCGTGGGAAATCTGTAAATGTTATTTATATGACAGGATGTGTCCTCGGACAGGTTCAAACTTTTTCACAGCATACAGTTTTGACTTGTCATTGCAAAGGAAACCACAGTGTTCAATGGCTCGTTAATGTTATGAATTACACAAGTGCTGTTCCTCCTATGACAGGTCAAAGTCTCTGCTGCAGTAGTGAATTAAGTATTGAGATCTTTTACTCGAGTAAAATCTGTAATTCCAAACTGTAAAAATATTCCATCACAGATTAAAGTCCATCATTCATAATTTTACTTCAGTAGAAGATATGGGCAGCATAATACCACCATCTGGGGTACCACAGGCCACACAGGTAAACTTTTTATCATATCTCATGGGTGCTTTATTTTCTCATGACTTAGAAAGATAGATAGATAGATAGATAGATAGATAGTTTACTTTATTAATTCCTGAAGGGAAAGTTAGGCATCGTAGCAGTCCAATACATTAAAATGTTTGCCATAGGTCCTAATTTAAAGTATATCACGCTGTCATGGGGGGTTAGGGGTGATCAGTCAGTCATTTTAAAGGATACAGACACAAATTTCCTCATGTGCTCTATTGACGGCCATAAATATTTCTCTTCCTAAGGTAGGATGATGTTCAAACTAATTTAGAAAAATAACACACACCAAGGTTTGTAGTGAGGTGCTATAACTGGCAGTCGACTAGAAAATAGGAAACAAGTGTCACACACTCCAACCACATACAGCCCAATTTGATCTCAGATGATCCAGAGCAATAAAACCATTGCACAATAACCTATAGGTACAATCAGCTCTAACATTTTCCCTTTTTTTCTGTAAAGAATTACATGTACATTATGTAGACATTCTTCTTTCGCAAAACAGATGAACAGCCTGAGATGTCTACTGTCAGTCAGTCTGCGTCTCACTGTCATTACATGTGCATTTATCCAGACATTTCCTGATGCATCTTTAAACATGGTCACAGTGAGTATTCATTGTTATATCAGAGAACTTTATTCTGGTCAGGGTGGAAAAGCCTCTGAAGCAGAATTTTACATGAAGTACGCATTGTTTAACTTGCTCCTGAAACCTGCCACATCTTAGTAATAATGGCCAGACTGGACCCTTTGGCAGGCCGGTTCTGGCCCATGTGCTGTATGTTTGACACCCCTGATTTGATTCATGTTTCGGTCCTCTGCTGTCTTCAAGGTCAACAATCAAGCGAACAGCAGTTGATCATAAGAGGGCCTGAGGGCCGAAACTCTCACCTAGATAAATGAGAAAAGCAGATGAAGCCAGAGTGTGCAAAACTTGTACTATCAAGATGATGTTCAAAGTCTAATAACTGTATCTTAACTGTTACAATCCTAAAATAATAATAATATGTTCCAGATGACATTAATTACATAACTAATAATGTTTTGAGAAGAAAGATAAAATTTTGCTATAATGGTTGTTTCTTAAAGTAGTTTATTCTTGGGGTCCCCAGTTGTAGCCTTATGTTAAAGTATGTAAGCCCTATGTTTGAGTGTGTAATCGTCATATTTTATAAGTTGATCATATATTCTAATGTAAATTCTGTGTAAGGAGTCTGTAAGTATCTAGTAAGAGTATCATATAAATGTAGTCAAGTGAAGCACAAGTGGCTCTACAGTGTGCCCAAGTACAGTACTTGAGTTAATAGTGCCCTCCACCACCTGTGAAACAAGGCCTTGGATGTATAAAGACTGTGGTGTGTAACTATGTACAGGCTGTCTCAATGACTTGGCCTATCAACAGTCAAACAGCACCTGCATGTGCTGTTCAATGGTAATGCAGCTGCTTTTACCTCAAGTGATTGTTTAGTTTAACTGTAATTTCTCCACCATTTAATCCGACAGATTTTGTAGCCTATACATTAATAGCTGTAAAATATTTATTATTACTTGTGAATGCATGAATCCCATTAGAGCCACTGCCCCCTCTCCAAAATACAGTGTTAGGATCAGTTATTAAGATGAACATTTAACAAAGATAATATCAATTAATTAATTTAATCGACCAGCGACAGATGGCATAGAGGAAAGAGAAAAAGTTAAGTGTAAATGGTTTGAAAATACATAAATAAACACTTAATCGCTTTCAAAGTCATGTCAAATTAGTTACTGAAGAATTGAATCATCTTTTCATGATTATATTAAAATTAAATTATATAAAAATACAATGCAATCTGCAATACGTATGTCAAGTTAATTGATTAAATATGATTAAACACCGTAAAAACCCTTATAATTACTTTGGCATAAGATACTTACCAATACACGTGAGAGGATACACAGGAACGTTAGCTAACTGAGGTGCTAGCTTAATTAAAGGCCGTGTTGGTACAGTATTTAAGCTAACTAGCATCAGTGCTAACATTACTATCAAAAACTAAATAAACGTGATGGTACTGAATGTAAACGGCTCTTGTGAAACAACCTGAGGTCTGCTGGTGTAACCGTGTGTTCACAATAAACCCATGAAATAACTGTAACGATATGTATCACTTATTATTTTAAAATGGCTGCTAATTTCTTGTATGAGCATGTCCCATATGGTCTAGCGGTTAGGATTCCTGGTTTTCACCCAGGCGGCCCGGGTTCGACTCCCGGTATGGGAACATCTGTTTTGACTGTACTATTTGAAGTCCGTACATCCTGGTCTGATACATGTCTGTATCTATGTAATGTGGAGCTACTAGCTTGATATAACAAGGCTGTGGTTATCACTATCACACAGGGGCAGTTAAGGTGGCTTGTTGGCACCTGTGTGGATCTCTGTATCTGTTGGTTATGTAAGCTTCATGGACTAATACTGGGTGCTATTTTGGTTAAACAAACTACTATAAGATTACTCAACAGGTGCACTGTAAGGAGGACTAAATGCAGCTTGTTTATTAATAGACTGCTCATGTCTCATTTAATGTTTGTTTACATGGCTGTGACATATTAAAACCTGAAAATTACACCAAGGCTGTATTTATTACTTTAAAAGTAACTGCTTACAGGTCCTAAATGGGAGACATTTTGTTTGCCTTCCAGCCATTAAAAGGTAGATTTCTATTATTTATTTGTTCTAAGTTGTAATTTTGCAAGGTATTCAAAGCCACTTTAAAAGATTTGCTGGTTTTAATTTTTGTCTTCTACGTTGCATTTTGTTTTCAACTTTCATTTTAACCACAGAAATAACATTTTTTTTTTAAATTTAATTAAGGGTCTGACAGTCAATCATCTGAATTTTTATCCACACTTTTCAACATCTTTCTCCTGTTGTCACAGATGTCAACACATTAGAGCAGTGGTTCCCAACTGGTGGGTCGTAGACCAAATGTGGGTCGCGGCACATTCTGAATGGACTCTGAAACATGTCAAGTTTGTAAAAAAACACTTTATTTTTAAGTACAGTGAATTTCTGGCACAGAGCTTTTATTTTGAAGTGCTGTTTCCTGCTGTAGAGCGAGTGACTAATAAACAGCTACTTATGAAGGCAGCAAACTAGCTCGATGACTTGGCCAAACACCAGCAGGATGCTAAATGTATTATACTGTATGGACCTTGAACTAATCATGAAGGAGATATTTGGCTTGGCCAGTTAGGAACCAATGCATGTTTGATGTCTGATTAAATGTACCCTAAATTATGCTGAATTTTGTTAATATTCCTCATACTTTAAAACATTCACAAGATTACTCATCTTTCACTTACAGTACATTAACAGGCTAATCACTACTTAGACTTCTGTGATCTGTAATATGTGCAAAACCTCGACTCACAAATAACTTGGTCTTTGAACGACTTCAAACACGTGACTTTCGAAAAACAGAAAATATAAATATTTTATTCTCTCACTGAGAAAGCTGAAACAAAACTGCACAAATTTTCTACAATGTGTACAACAGACACTAGAGTCACCTAAAGTATTTATTAAATGACATTTTAAAAAATTAGATTCCATGAGAACGTTAAAGTAGTTTTTCAAAATAACAAAACAGAGCAAACAAACAGTGCTGGCTGTAAACATACAGCACATTTACATACAAAATATACACAACTAAGTGCCAAACTTACACAAAAGAATTTTAGGGTTTCCAAATGTTCCACATAAATAATACTAAACAATCATATAACCTTCATTAATTCATCTAAATTAGTAACAGCTACACAGAGATTCAATAACCATAAACTATATCTTCATGTGGGAAAGGCTGCTCAGGACATGTCTGAGTGACAGATGAGGTGTACAGTCAATTTCATATAATTTCTGTCATGATTCTAACTCATAGAAGTTATGGTTCATGATATTTGTGATTGGAGATCGCAAAAAACAACCCTAACACACCCCCACCCCCGACAGCTCACATGAAAAGTTCAAGTGCAGTGAGTGCCTCTGTCTCCATCTCTGTTGGTCTCTGCGCCACAGCCTGCGAGAGATACTCCTCCAGGAAGTTTTCAGTGTTGTGCACGTTCGTCTGCGACACTGCACCAACTGCACCAACTGCACCAACTGCACTGACTCCACAGTCCAACTGCTCTGCTCCATCTTGCCCGTTGGCAATCATCTCAAGGAAGCCTGTGCTGTCTGGTGAAAGGTTGCTGGCGGTCGTTGCTGGAGAGAGCAGGTCCGAGAGGATGTCATCGCAGACAGAGTTATCATAAGTGCTGGAGGTGACGGAGTTAGGGGAGCCTAGGGCGGTGCTGTCCGGTCGGAGATGGGCTCCCCCCTGATGACCCAACAGTTGATTGAGCTCAGCGAGCTTCTTCTTCTTTGCCCTCAGTTTCTTCATCAGCTTGTACCTGAGGACTTCTGTTTCGCTGAGACCTGGAGGAATCTTTGAGGAGTGGCTGCGGTGTTTCTTTGAAGAGGATATTTCAGGTAGCCACTTCTCTCCAGGCACAGGAAGCGGTGTACCAGGCACCACTGTAGTGTTTGTGAGGGGTTTATGGTGGTTAGAAGGTGAGGGTTGAACCAGCTT